AATTCTAAAAATTAGGAATGAGAGGTAGAAGCCGGATTTTTTGGGTTGTTATAAAAACAGTTTTTCTTTACAGATTTGGGATATAGGAAGGTTAGTGGGTAGTACTTTTTTTGGTGATTTGGTTAGTGGGCAGTTTTTTTGCACTAAAATTTAAAATAGCCTAAAGATATAGACATTTCGATTAGGTTTTTGACCCTTTTTCCCCTAATTAAATAATTAATAACCAATTTGCCCCTCCCCCAGAACTATCCACCATCCTGCCCCCATTTAGTCGATTATGTTGCACTTTTAATCGACTAAATGGGCTAAACTCAGAAATTATGAAACACGAAATGTTGCACTTTCGCATACGAATCCTGTACAATACGTATTTTGTACCTGAAAGTGTGTTCCCCAAGTCATTATATGCGTGTACATTGATATTCGATCGGTTCCGTGCCAAAAAAAATCGTGCAAAACAGAATGGGGTGTCAAAACCAGTTATTTAGTCGAGCAACCCGTACTGGTTTAGTCGACTACACAGTTTAGTTGACTAAACCAGTACGGGTTTCTCGACTAAATAACTGGTTTTGACACCCCATTCTGTTTTGCACGATTTTTTTTGGCACGGAACCGATCAAATATCAATGTACACGCATATAATGACTTGGGGAACACACTTTCAGGTACAAAATAGTATTGTACAGGTTATAAACCACGAATGTGCATGTACTGCAAAACTGCAATAATTAAGGGTATCCGAAACTTGTGTTCTTATTTTAACTCTGTTAAGGTCACCTGTTCTGAATTTCATTGGACAGTTTAGACCCGTTGGACTGTGATTAGACACAAATTGAAAACATGAAGGTAAAAGATATTTGTCATTTAATAGGTAAACAAGAAAACAACAATATCCTCTTAAACGGTTCACAACATGATGGGAACATCAAATAGTTCATTTCATAACCATAATATTACATAAGCTACAAATGTAAAATAGGAAGACCGGAGTCAATTACATTACAACATACACTAGAAACGTAAAATAGAAACATAAACCCTAAATATAATCCTCATCCTCCTCGGATGCCGTCTCCTCGTCATCCTCATCTGACACATCAGCCCCCTGCCCTGCAACATCCTCAATCTGCTGTCCTCGTCCAAGCTCTAGACGAGCAAGCCTATCTTCAACACCCTTGAACCGTCCCTGTATATGTCTAAATCTTTCATTTCCCTTCTGCACGTGACTCTTCCTCCATTTTTTGTGTTTCAGCGCCATTTTTCCTATTTTCTTCAGCGTGGCGTTTATGCCCTTCATGACATCACGTAATGAAAACCCACCCTCAGGCTCAGCTATCTCCTGCTGGTCACCCTCATCATCATCGTCATCATCATCCTCCACCTCGGGGTCAACCATGTCTACATATGGAGCAACATCAGGAACCTCAACATCAGCCGCACCTGTGAACTGCCACACTCCTGTTTGGGGGTTCTTTATCATCTTGCACTGCTCCAGTAGACGTTTTCCAAACTTATGATTATACCCTGTGGTCTTCTTCAAGGTCACATTACCTATGGGAACATCAAAATGCTCCAATATCCTCTGAACAAGACAAGCAAATGGAAGTGCACCCTTGTGTTTGGCCTTATACATCATCCAACACACGTAGTGCCTCCAGTTCACCGAAGTACCATGTCGGATAGCCCACATGATGGGAATGTCATGCTCCAACACCCTGGAATGATTGAACGCTCGCGGAAACAAAATGTGGGTGATGACATAGTGTAGTATGCGGGACTCCACAGTAAGCAACCCCACCGTATAGGCAATGTGTTGCCCACGGACTCTCCTCTGCTCCTGCACGGCATCACCGCGTGTATATCCTGGAAGTATGGTCCCGCTGTCTGCGTCATATTCCACAGTCTGCGCAGAATCAAAGTCATACCCCAGTAACTCCAACCATACCGGATCCGTCATGATGATGTCCACCCCGCAGACCCTAGACCTCAGCTCACCGTGATGGTAGCTGAGATTATGGTAGAAGGCCCGTACATGCAGCTCAGAATATGAACACGACAGTTCAGCCAAGGTCCTAAGATGTGATTCCTCCAACCACCTCACAATGTTAAAACCTTCTTGTTCAAAAAAGGCTGTATCAAGTGATTTGGCCCCACAAATCGGTCGGTTAACAAAGTCACGGACAAAAGATTCATGAACCACCGGGTCATTCTCGAACAAGTATCCGAATGGGAGGTCCACAGCAGCGGGGTCTTCCTCTTGTGGCCTTGACGAAGACGGATGGTCTTGTCGTAGCTTTTGTCGTCTCTCATTTCCAGTGCTAGACGATCTTCTACGGCCAGCCATGGGAACAACTGTACCTACAATGCAAGTGGAAACAAAAATCAATGAACAATAACAATATCAAAAAATTTAAAATTCAATATAAAAAACAAAACCTAATCCTAAAATAAAACAGAAATCAGAAACCCAATCCCTAACCCTAAAACAGAAATAGAAACCCTAACCCTCAACCCTAACCCTAACCCTACACCCTAAAACAAAACACAAAAACCCATTCCTAACCCTAAACACTACAACCCAACCAAAACAGCAACGTAAACCCTAACCCTAACCCTAACCCTAACCCTAACCCTACGCCTAAGGCACCACATCAACCCTAACCCTCACCCTCACAACACACTTAGCACCTTACCCCTAACCTAAATCCACAAAACCGCAAACATAAATCAAATGCATGAAGAAAACCAAAATAAAAACTAAACTTAAAACCAAATGCAAGTCAGAATACGTTACCTAAATGTCGATTTCGCAAGTGTGAACCAAGGAAGCTTCAATCGCACCTTCAAGGGTTGAGATTCGGACTTGGTTGAAGAGAGGGGACGAAATGCAGCCTTTTAGTCGATTAGGGTTTGAAAATAACCCCCTTTGCGAAATGGGGGGTTTTTAAAAAACCTGATCTGCGACATTTAGTCGACTAAATAATGCGCTTAGTCGACTAAAAGTGCAAACAATTTAGTCGATTAAGATGAGTTTTTAGTCGACTAAAATTCGCGTTTCATAATTTCTGAGTTTAGCCCATTTAGTCGATTAAAAGTGCAACATAATCGACTAAATGGGGGCAGGATAGTGGATAGTTCTGAGGGAGGGGCAAATTGGTTATTAATTATTTAATTAGGGGCAAAAGGGTCAAAAACCCCATTTCGATTCCACATTATTTTGGTGGTTTGATAAGTGGGCAGTTTTTTTTGTTGGTTTGATTTGCTATTTTATGAAACAAGTTTTGTTAAAACTACATTTTTTTTAAGAAAAAAAATTACACATTATTTTATTACATTGTTAATTTATACATGCTTTATATATTTATCCTCACTAATATATTAATATTAAATATTTGTGACAAAATATTATAAACACAAATGCTTCAAATCATTAATGACTAATACTTAGTCATTAATATTAAAAAATAAGTGACAACTTTTGTAATTATCAATAATATAATAGAATATTAATGACGAAGTTAATTTTTTTGTCCCTAATACTTTTTTGTAATAGTAGTGACAAGTTTTTCACCATTATCAGTGTATTGATATTAGATATTTGTGATAAATAATTTTAGACATAAATGCTTCAAATCATTAAGGATGAATTACTTATCACTAATAATAAAAAATAATTGATAAGTTTTATTACACTACAGATAAAATGGTATTCACTGACGGTTGAATTACGTCGGTTATAGATAAATGCCACTGATATTGAAGGATGATAACCTGAGTTGCGTAAAGAATGAACCCATCAGAGGATTATATCAATGGAAATTAGATAATAGAGTATTGTACATCTAATAAGCACCAAGCACAGAAAAAAAGAGCGGGCCATCCATGATGGAAAATAAAAACGATGTCGTTTAAAAGTGTCTTTGTAAACCCATTACACTCTTAATCCCAAACGGCCTAAACCCTCTCGCTCTCAGTCTCATAGCATTTCCACTTGCTCACTCACCTCAGGAACCCTACTATCTTTAGCGGTTAGTGCTTCTCTCTTGTTTAATTTATGCATTTTATGCATTTCAAATCTTCATTTTCTCTCAGTTTTGTGGTCCTCGCTGAAACTGAATAGAGTTTCATCATCAAGTTCTGGAAGGTTTTGCTTTCATCGTTGACAATGTGATGATGTTTTGGTTTAACAATTAATTTGCATGCTCGGCGACAATTTAATTGAATATTCGAATCAATCTTTTACAGGTTTTGGAGTATTTGGCTGCGAGGGGTATACTGCAAATCTTGTATGTGTTCGATTTAGTCCCAGTTCTCATGCTTACTTTCCACTATTTTCTAATTTAGCTCAGGTTATGATGGTGATTTATCGAATTCGGATAGTCTTGACAGCAGAAAATGTTAAGGAAACTCAATCAAAATCCAGCAATGAACAGTGAGAAAAATTGAATTATAAAAGACACATAGAATCACTGTAGCACTGCATAGCGAGAAAAAAGTTGGTCAGAGTATGGACTAAGTTTCAACAAGATGTAATTTTGGTTGTTGAGTAAGATAAAGATTCCTCATATATTGTCACTTATCATCGTCTACTCAATATATAGATAATAAGTATGCCTATGCCAACTCATTTCATAAGATATTCTAGAAACAAATTTTGAATATCTAGCATGTAAAAGCGTTGAGGTAGTAAGCTAGACGCACCTGTTATGAATTGGATCTGGTCCATTGGGAATTCTTCGTTTGCTCATGTAGTTGAAATCCAACTCTGCATGGTTGAGTGGCTTATCTGAGTTACCTATCACATGCTCCTGCTTGAGCCTTTCTGATGACTCTGTTGATAGTGTAGTTGTATTTGTTGTTCCTCCACCACTACCTAAGCTTCCAACAACTAGAAGACAAACAAGACCTACCAAGAGTGTTCCAAGGAAGAACCTTGGAAGGAAATAACTACTAAAAGTACCCATATGCAATTTTTTTTTTCCTGGTTATATGTATATATAAAAAATATATTTATCTCATAGGATGAAGGAGATGATAAAGAAAACTGAAAAGCCTATCTGTTAGGATACCATATCTTAAGGAACATTCTAGAATGAATTGTAGAGAATTAATCACTCAAGGCACTCATGCTGAGTCACCAAGGCAGTTAGAGGGGGAATATTCTAGAAGGAAAATTCTGTTAGAGGCAATGAGGTGAGTCACATGTGAAGAATAATAATGCTTAGTATAAATAGATGGAGAAAAAAGAGGAGAGGAGGCTGGGAAATTGGGAGTTCTTGGGAGAGATCAGTGTGTCTTTAATTGCACTGAATTTGTTAGTCTTTTCCTGTAATTGTCCTTTTTAAGCTTTAGATTGAAAGTTCATTGTAATAGCATTTCACTCTTTTGATTAATATAAAGAAAATCCAGATTTCTGGGCCAAAACTCTTCTGTGTGCGTTCTTTACTCTGATATATTACTTCCAGTCTTATCACTATCATTGCATGGTGACTGTTGTGAGATTGGGTTTATAAGAAGACTAGAGAAGAAGAGAATAGGAGAGGAGGGAGGGTGGTCTAAGACAAGATTTTTTTACCTCAAAGGTTAAGGGTGTGGTTGGTTTTCTTTATAGTGAGAGGAATGCTGTTTCACTTTAGAGTAAGAGAGAGAGAGAGCTTAGCTGGTTCCAAGTTTGGAATGGAACACTTTGCTTTATATTGAGAAGGTCCCAATACGACACTCTTTTTTTGCTTTGATTTGTGTATTTCCATCCAACTACGGTACCAAAAGATAACTCCTTATATATCCTATCATACTGTACAAATACAATGGTGTAAAGAGACTATAAGAGGTTGCCTTGCCTATAGACTATAGTGTTGTACTCTGAATGTCATACTTTGAATGACTACTGAGTACCTAGAATAAAATTCATTTCATTATTTGTGATGACTGCTAAGAATATATAGTTTGAAGATCCTTAAATGCCAACCAATGTCATTCTCCCATATAAATACAACATACAGTAACATAAAGTCTTCTGAATGAAGAAATTGAAAGGGAAGATTCCTACATCCCAAATCAGCAAGTTCTGTCTCTCCTGTTTCTCAGTGTGCTGAATTTTTCTCTTTTCTCTTAAAACAGTTTTTTAAGGTTTTATGGCTTTTATTTTTGCTCATGTTATTCTAATATAAATTTGATATTCATTTCATGATAAGCATCTAAAGTAAATTATTTGGTAGTCTATTTGGTATTATGATTCTCAAGCCCTGCTTTTTTTTCCAATTGTTATAGATCAGAATCTCATTCTAGGCCCAATAAGGTAGGTGTTCACCATTCCAAGAACACAATTTCATGCCATTCAATAGATCCATAAATTCATACAAAAAAACAAATATAATAATTTACAGGTTTGAAGTGCAGACACCTTGATAAATCCATATATTTATCTTCGTGTTGGCTGTTTTTCATGTCCTTTACTCTGTTCTCACTATGGCTCTAGGAAGATTAAAGGTAATTGAAGACAGATTTCAATTTTCTTTTACTAAATTATATGCCTCCTTTTCTATATATATCTCTGAGTTTACTTACTTGGTTGAATTATGACTCAATAGATGAAAAGGTGGAAACGATGGGAAGAGGAAACCAAGACATGGTATTTGGGCATTAAATACGTGTGCATAAGACAGTTGCTTGAATATCTACTAGTTATTTGCGTACATGTTATCTTGTGTTCAACCTTTTTTTGCCCTGGAGCAGCTTTCAGGGAAGTTCAACCTTGAGGGAAATATTGAATTGCAGGTATATGGCTGGCCCAAAATATTGAATTGTATTCGTGAATGATAAATATGAGATTGTAGTAATCTATTAGCTAATGGATGCAAGTATTCAATGGAGCAGGTTGGTGTTAGTTCTTCCGCACCAGGTGCTGCATTACAAGTAGATATTCAAGTTTCAAATTGTAGTAAAAAATCATCCCTTTAAGTAGAGATATCATCCTGATTCATTAAAGCATTATAGATATTCTTGACTGTTGCACCTTTTGGATTCTTTAGGTACCAATGTAAACTGTCCTCTCCATTAGACTCATGTGGAGGAATAATGCTCCTAATCCTTTGAATTAGCACAGGAGAAAGTAAACTATAGCAAGAGTCGCCACATCCCACTCCCCATCTTCAGAAATGCAATCCCTGACTTTCTTTCCAATATCATCTTGAGTAATTGGTACTAAGGCTTTATTAGCTAAATTATCTTCATGATCTAACCACTTATCCTCCCAAAAACTGATTGTATTCCCATCCCCCACATCCCAAATTAGCTTATCTTTCAACTTGTGCCAAACTTCACAAATATATTTCCAGAGATGAGAGTTACCATTTTTCCAACAAAAAGTAAATTGACCAGCCTCCAATCTGCCATATTTAGCCTTAAGAACTTGAGCCCACAACTGGTTAGGCTCATTAAGGAAAGACCATAGAAGTTTTCCCAAAAAAGCCTCATTCATAATTGAGAGCTTTCTCAACCCCAAACTGCCTTGATATTTAGTCTTTGTGATAATATCCCAACTAATTAAATGCATTTGCTTTTTATTAGCTGTATCAAATAAAAGCTCTCTGAATCTTTTCTAACTCATTGCAAACAGACTTAGGAATCATAGTACATTGCATGTGGTAGTAGGGAATAGTAGATAAAACAGACTGAGTTAGAACCACTCTACCTGCTTGAGACAGAGTCTGACCTTGCCAGCTAGATAGTCTATCTTTAACTCTATCAACAATCCCGGCAAATAAATTCTTGTCACCCTACCATGTTGAATCATTGCACCAAGATATCTGCCTATATTCCGAACTCTCTTGAATCCACTAATCTCTGTGATTTTTGTTGCCAAATCATCAGGAGTATTTTTTGAGAAAAACACACAGGTTTTTTGATCATTCACTTTCTGCCCAGAGATTTCACCAAACAGCCCCAAACAACGAAGAAGAATTTGAAGTTGCTCCTCACTAACTTCCAAAAATAACATGAGATCATCAGCAAACAAAAGGTGGGAATAGTAGGGAATCATAGTACATTGCATGTGGTAGTAGGGAATAGTAGATAAAACAGACTGAGTTAGAACCACTCTACCTGCTTGAGACAGAGTCTGACCTTGCCAGCTAGATAGTCTATCTTTAACTCTATCAACAATCCCGGCAAATAAATTCTTGTCACCCTACCATGTTGAATCATTTCACCAAGATATCTGCCTATATTCCGAACTCTCTTGAATCCACTAATCTCTGTGATTTTTGTTGCCAAATCATCAGGAGTATTTTTTGAGAAAAACACACAGGTTTTTTGATCATTCACTTTCTGCCCAGAGATTTCACCAAACAGCCCCAAACAACGAAGAAGAATTTGAAGTTGCTCCTCACTAACTTCCAAAAATAACATGAGATCATCAGCAAACAAAAGGTGGGAAATTTTTGGGCCTCCTTTCCCAGCACGAATAGGTTTCCATAAACCTCAACTAACAGCTATTTCAATAATATAAGAGAGTTTTTCCATAGCAAGAACGAATAAATAAGGGGACAGAGGGTCTCATGTCTAATACCTCTACTGGGTTGAAACTCTTCAGTGAGGCTCCCATTCCAAATCACATTCGTTTTAAGAGAAGAAACTGCAGTCATTATAAGATCAGTAATCCTCCCAGGAATATGAATTTCATTCAAAACATTTTTTATGAAACTCCAATTGAGACGGTCATAAGCTTTTTCAAGGTCCACCTTAACCGCCATAAAACATTTTTTTCCTCTCATCTTTTTCATTGAATGGACTAATTCCTACACCACAATAATGTTGTCATGGATATGACGATGAGGAACAAAGCTGGACTGCGCAGGAGAAACCACTTTGGCCATTATGCTCTTTAGACTGTTAACAAGCAGCTTACTTATCACTTTATAGACAACACGGCACAAAGAAATTGGTCTGAACTGGCTAATATGAGCAGGATGTTGAGACTTAGGAATTAAAACCAAAAGAGTTGAGTTAATTGAAGCTAACAACTCAGGGTAATTCCAAATTTGAAACACCATAGAACAGATTTAATCTTGAACCTCATTCCAATTTTTTTGAAAAAATACAGCTGGATAACCATCAGTACCAGGAGATTTGAAAGCTCCTATACTGAAAACTGTTTGTTTAATTTCTGAAACATTTGGAATACGGTTGAGCAGATCAAGATCATTTTGAGACAAACCTGGCCAAAGATTTTCTGAAGAGATCCATCTTCTACTTTGCACATCTTCCGAGAGAAGGGATTTGAAAAAATTCACAGCCATTTGCTTCAGTTCCAGAGGATTAGAAACTCAAACATTTGCCTCATTTTTAAGTTTTACAACTTTGTTTATACTCCTTCTTACCACAGTAGAAAGGTGATAAAACCTTGTATTTCTGTCTCCATCAGTTATCCACCTCTGTCTTGATTTTTGAAACCAGAAAAGTTCCTCTTCACATAGAACAGTTGAGAGCAGATTTTGATAATTCTCTTCTACCCTTTTAAGATAAGAAGAATCATTCTGCTCACGTTTACTTTGAACATCAGTAATCCTCTTGATGATATGATGTGCCTCTGGCAAGTGTGGTTTTTCCATGTTAAAATTGATAAGAATTGAGTCATAAGAGAGCAATTTAAATACATATTTGCTATTTATATTGATTCTTTCTATGTCAATAATATTCACCTTTTGGTTGTGTTTTTACAGGAAAAAGAGGAGTGAAAATTACAAATTATAAAAAGTCTGTTGACGCGATTCCACACGCACGGATGTATCACACTACAAATACCAGAGAATTGGCGCTGGTTGGCGCCAGAATGGCGCAAACTAGCGCCACCATGCCACCTTGCGCCAGCTGAAGAGAAGTGGCGCCACCAAAGTGAAGCAAACCAACGCCCAAATTGCAAGGAGATGGCGCCACTAGGCGCCCACTAAGAGAGGAGAAGTGGCGCTAGTTGGCGCCCAAAATGTGAAGGATGGCGCCAACTGGCGCCGAGTCACGGGAATTGGTTCCGAATTGCAGCATACATTGGGCAGGAAGTTGGCGCAAACGTGCGCCAAACCGGCGCCAACTGGCACCGGGTTGCGGGATAGAAGTACCGTGTTATCTCGGGGGTATTTTTGGAAGAAGGAAAAGAGTCATATAAATAGGATCCTTTTGACAGAATTAGGGATCCAGACCTATTTTTCAGAAGGAGACCGACGGCAGAGCTCAGGAGAATTCTTCTACAGTTCTTCTTCTTCTCTTTTCTTCTTAATTTTATGCTTTTGAATATTGGATTATTTTTAGCCATGATTATGCTTGGCTAGTTTTCTTTTATTGTAGTTAGGGTCACAAACCCTATGTAAACCCTTGTTACGCGGATTGATTTATAATTGTTCGTTTATATAATTATCTTTATCTCTACCTTGTTCGTATTTGATATTTTCTTTATTAGAATTGATCACTCTAATAGTTGATAATAGTCTGAGGGTTAGAACCCTAGATATGGATATTGGGGTTTTCATCCTGAAAGGGGGTAGGATAACGGTTCGTATGCATGCTAGGAATAGATGTGTATTGAATTGCGGATGCCTAAATTATAGAGTTCATCGCTTAATTTTCATGAGGGATTGCTAAGGGATTAGGATTTCAATTGGGGATTAAAGGGTTAAATTGCCAAGGGATTGAGATTTAACTAATTATTTTAGATAATAATTTATCCGAGTAATTTTATAAATTAATGTTGGAAATCAATCCAAAGTAAGAAGTGGGGATCATAAGGTGAGTGCGCTCTAGCTACAATACTTTTCTCATATTTTTAAATCAATTCTCATTGTTATTGTTTTATTTCTCTTACATAAAAATATAAAAACAAGTCTTTATTTCCTATTGTTACTCAAATTCAATTCACAATTTTCCAAACAACAAATCGAGTTTTTCAACTTAAGGGGACTGGTTATTGTAGTACTTGGTTTACAATCCTTGTGGAGACGATACTCTACTTACTCATTATATTACTTGTGCGATCGGTATACTTGCCGGAGTGCATCATAATACTAGCTTTCCTCCTATCTATGCTGCCAAAGACTTTTTTATTCCACATTTTGATTTCAGGAACCAGCCTCTGAAGCATATAAGGAAGATCAAACTGCTTATCCCAATTTTCTTTTAAGAAATCATTAAAAGAGAAATGCTCCTGCCATGCTGCAAAGAAACGAAACGGTCTCACACCCCTCTCTTGCCTATCTTCAAACAGTTTGACTAGTAAAGGGTTATGATTAGAAAGTAAACGAGGAAGAGATAACACTCTAGCCTCATGAAACGGTAACTTCCCGTCAGCATTCGCAGCCATTCTATCCAACCTTTTAAAAATCCTATCCATGTTGCCCCATTTTGGGCCCTGCCAAGTAAACCTGGTACCATCACAACCCAGATCAACCAATTGACAGTCATTAAGAACCGAAGCAAACTTAGAGCATTTGATTGGATCGGGTGCAACCCCACCCTTTTTTTCATAAACATGAGCAATTTCATTAAAATCTCCTCCAATGAGCCAAGCACTAGAAATACTTACACTTAAATTTCTGAGATCATCCCATAATTTTTCTCTATTGCTCTGATTCGGACTTGCATATACAGCAGTAAAAAAGAAAGATTGATCATTCGGGCCACAAACATTACAATGAATAAATTGGCCAGACTGAGACAATGAGACCACTTTTAACTTACTACTCTGCCACATGATCCAAATTCCTCCAAAAAAATCCCTAAGCTTCCTCCACCACATAACTATCAAATCACAGTTTCTTCATAATTTTTTTACAAACTCCACTTTGGGTTCTAGGCTCTAGAATAACCACTAAATTCACATCATTTTTCCTCACCAAACCATTTAGAGCACTACCAAATTCTTTTTTAGCAGCTCCTCTGGAATTCCAAATAAAAAAATTCAAAAAGAAAGTGATTGGGTTGCAGGTATTGAAGAGCCCTGCTGCTCCCAATTTCCTAATACTTGACGTCTTTTTTCTTCCATATCCCTTGAGTCCGAACCATTATCCACCAACATCCTGTCAGGAGATTTAGGAGGCACCACCCTATGATCAATAGATCTTCTTTTATCGGATTTAACATCATCAGGAGGCCTAATAGCTGGCATTTTTAAAAGGTCCCTAGGCTGACTTCTTTGCTGCAAAGACATGTGCACCTTTGGAATTGGTTTTGAATTTTGGATTGAAGGGCCCCAAGCTCACCCATATCACAGTTTTTTTTTTTATATGTTTCATTACACAAATAATGTGTGATCAGTTTTCCAATTATAGCCATTATAACTATAAAGGTCGGCTAATTTTTCAGTTCAAAACTAACAAAGACTCTCCTCGCGATATGAAATAAATAAATAAGAATATTATTTATAACATGATGATTTCATATAATTTTTTTAAAAAAAAATTAAATTTTTTTCTCTTGACTTATTTATAGATTAGTTCCTATTTATGTTTTTAAAATATAAAAGCCATAATTTTATATATAATATATTAAATTTTATAAACAACTTGTTACATATTTAATTGTCCACAAGATGCAAATATAAAAAGACCAGAGTTAGGAAAGATCATAAAAAAAAGAAGACCATTGAACTGCGTGGGGAAAAATTGCATGTCCAAATATAAAAAGACCAGAGTTAGGTAAGATCATAAAAAAAAAACAGACCATGGAACTGCGTTGGGAAAAAATTGTCCAAATATAAAAAGACTAGAGTTAGGTAAGATCATAAAAAAAGAAGACCATGGAATTACTGCGTTGGGAAAAAATTGTACAAATATAAAAAGACCAAAAAAAGAAGACCATGAAAGACCAGAGTTATGTAAGATCATAAAAAAAGAAGACCATGGAATTACTGTGTTGGGAAAAAATTGTCCAAATATAAAAAGACCATGGGGCTGCGTAGGGAAAAAAATGATAAAATATATAACCGTCGCCGAGGTAGAGAGTTTTGGTTAACAAAATAACAAGTATAAGAGTGCTAACTTTAAGCTACTCTCTATACTTCATCCCTAATAATTGGCATCATATCAGAATTTAAGCATCTTGCTCGCTTAAATTGACGAGGTAAACTTTAATGGTTCATATCCTGACTTTAAACTCAACACCATTTTTCAGGTGCTTTTGAGGTTCTCGTATTTATCTGATTCCCACTCTCTATGTAATAGAATCTATTACTGTGTTAGAGATGTTATAAAGTTTTGAAATCATTCATGTATGTTTACCTAAGAGCGCATTAAATTTTTTGAATAGTTGGCTCATGACGCTACGCTCTTTTTTTGAGTAAATATTAGAGAAGCTCTGATACTATATTAAACGTCACTTGCGTTAAGTGATGGTCTTTTTAATGATTTTATATTATTCTTACAAATGTTTTGCGCCTAGTCTGATCATTATTAGAAATAGAGATCTGAGTGAATATTGTCAAGGTGCTGCTGGTACCTGCTATACGAGACCCTTTCTTGATGCACCAAAATAGTAGTTTTAAGGATTAACGTTATCAATTCAAAAATCATTCAACTTAAAAATTTGAAACTTGAAACTGTTCGGTTGGGGTGTGAGGCTTAGAAATATCTTTTAAACAGAATTGCTCAAATCATTTAATTAACAGGTTGAACATCACAGTGATCCACTTAAATCCATAATGAAAATTTTGTTTATAAGTGTATGTATCTTACTTACACATTAATTAAAAGGAAATTTAACCCTCTCGTTTTACCACCAGAATATGTCCACGCATCAGCAGCCAGGAGGATATTTAGATGATACCAACATTCAGATTATAACATCATCATATCACAATGAGGAAATTCTAGTAGAAGCTACTTCAGCTGCTGCCTCACCACAAGTAGAGAATACAACCGTGAATGAAATTACTCCAAAAGATTATCAGAGTAAGTTTTACTTGAAACTATTGCATTCAACAAGCTCATAAAGGTGCACTCTAGAGACAACATAAGAAAGGTAGATTTTAGCCATCGTGTGGTTTAAAGGTAATATATGTTTCCCATGACCTTTTCAGACAAACTTATCTATTCAAACTTTACACAAAATCTCACATGAAAAACTTCAAAATCAAGGCAAAAGTAAGTTCATCAATTATGCCAATAAGAAAGGTACACCCTTGTGGTGTTCAAGGTGAATGGTTCGATAATTTGATCCCCTCAACACTCCATTTCTCCAATTTCTCAGCTAGATTCCAATAAGGGTCCTCTACCTTACTTACAAAATAGGAATTAAAAATCGAGATAAAATTTCAAAGTTCATATATTTTAAACTATTAGCACTGTGGATGGATGATAGACATTTTATTTTATATTTTCCAGACGGTTTTGTTAACCTTTTTCCCTTTATTTGTATTATTTTTCTCTTCTCTCCATTTTTTCATGCTTTCAAAATTAGTTTGAAATGAAGGTGACGTTGAGTCGTTGATATTGGTATCTGTTTTAGATTTTAAACAGTTGATTTATCATTAACACCTCATAGTTGTACATGTTTAGTGTAAACAAGATAAGATATTTGTATGCAGATAATAATTATAATAAAGATCATATGGTGATATGAAGTTTACAAGCATTGCAGGTTTATTGAAACAAAAACTGTACGAATGTGCACTCCACGATAAGTGGAACGGAGCAAAACCTATTTATGATGAATTTCCTTTTATGGTACGTATTCCGGTGACTGCTACTGGAGATACAGCTCTTCATGTTGCAGTGAGTGCAAACAGTACTACTTTTGTTGAAGGGTTGGTTAATCTAAAGCATATGACCCCAGAAGACCTGAAAATACCGAACAAAGATGGGAACACAGCTTTTTGCATAGCTGCAATTTCAGGGTATGATGATTATATTCAAATTATGATTAAAAAGAACGAAGATCTTGCAGTGATCCCTGGGCATGATGGGATGCTTCCAGTTCACTTGGCTGCTGCATCTGGTCACCACAAAATCGTGGAAGAATTGTCCTCTGATAATCTGCTTGACAAAATGGCTTCCAAGGATATCAAGGATATTGAACGCCTGTTTTTTATGACCATTAGCTGCAGCATGTACGGTAAGCATAAACAACATCATTATACATAATTGAAACTAATTGTCTCTAAAATATTATGACATGTCTATTGTTTAAAAACCGAATTGAACCAACCGGTTTAATCCGTGAAATTATGAACCGATTATATTTCTAATTTAACCATAAATATTCATTTGTGATTTGATCATGCATTTAATCAGTTGAAAAACATTGTAATTGCAAACCTATATTTCTTTCAATATGATGGTTAATTTTTTCATCTTTATATCAAACCCATTTCTTTCAATTACATATATT